AAGAAATTATTAGGAAAAAGTCAACTCAAGAAGATAATAAAATATACAAAAAGTTCAAAGAAAAACAAATACAAATATTTAATCTCTCCTATTAGGGAAATACAAATTTATACTGAAAAAATTGAAACATTACTCTAATGCAACGTGGAGATACGTTTAGATACAGATATAAACAAACTGTAAACAACTGTAAGACTTGAGATAACTTGAGAAAATTTGAAGTTTTGCTAGTATGATAATTGTTTTAAAAAGACAACCTGTAATACATTGTAAAGTATTTATAGATGCAATTATGTCAGGGACTTCAAAATCACTGAGTAGAAAAGGGAAAAGTGGATAAGTCAGTCAAGTATACTTAACTATGTAAAACAAGGCTGGCCACATGATGGTATAATTGACCCTGAGTATACAGAACTTCTTATATTATCATCTTTATTTTTATATGTGAAAAATTGCCTAAAATAAAAAAGCTTAAAACTGAAATAAAACCAACATATATTCATATTTCAGAAAACTCTGGAAGAACTCACACACAAAAAATAATGAAAATGGTTACTTTTTTTGGTGTAGTGGATAAAACATTTCATTTTTACTTTGTGTTTTGACATTTTTAGAAAAAACGGGAATTTTTTAAATGGAAAGAAAAAACAAGAACCAATTCTGTTGATAGTTGGATGTCTACATGAACAACATCATACTCTGATTGCACCAGCAGTTCTGCATGCCAGACAAGGACTTTAACACAAACACGGGTCAGCATGATCCATCAAAGAAAAAAGAAAGCATCACAGAGCGGTAAAGAATGCAGGTAAAAGAACAGAAGAATTTAAACTCCAACTCTTCATAAAAACTATCATTGAGAGCTAGAAATTTTCAAGGCAGCTGAATAATACAAAGTTAACATGCAAAAAATCAGCCAGGGGGGTAGGTGGTAGTGCTGGCATTGTGGCATAGGAAATAAAGCCTCCACTGTGAAGCCAGCATCCCATACAGGTACTGGTTTGTGTCCTGGCTACTACCCCCCCCCCCCCTTTTAAGATTTTTATTTATTTATTTGACAGGTAGAGTTACAGACAGTAGAGAGACAGGTCTTCCTTCCGCTGGTTCACTCCCCAAATGGCTGGAGCTGAGCCGATCCGAAGCCAGGAGCCAGGTGCTTCCTCCTGGTCTCTCATGCACTTGGGCCATCCTCCACTGCCTTCCTGGGCCACAGCAGAGAGCTGGACTGGAAGAGGAGCAGCCGGGACTAGAAATGGCGCCCACATGGGATGCCAGCGCCACAGGCGGAGGATTAACCTACTGTGCCACGGCACTGGCCCCTGGCTACTCTACTTCTTATCCAGCTCCCTGATAATGGCCTGGGAAAAGCAGAGGAGGATGGTCCAAGTGCCTGGGCACCTGCTACCCATGTGGAAGACCAGGATGAAGCTCCTGGCTTCTGGCTTTCACCTTGTTCAGCCCTGCATTGCGAACATCTGGAGAGTGCCCCAGCAGATGGAAGATCTCTCACTCTTATCTAACTCTTTAAAATAAATAAGTAAATCTTTAAAAAAAATTAGTTATGTTTTACACACTAACCATGAACAATCTGAAAGGGAAATTAAGAAAAGAACTCCATTTACAATAGCATTATAAAAAAAGGAATACTTAATAGGTATCACCAAGGAGACTGAAGAGTACAAAAAGTTTCTGAAATTATAGAAGACACCAGTAAATATACATTCCATGTTCATGGATTGTAAGATTTACTATTAAGATGTGAATACTACAAAAGCAATCTGCAGATTCAATATAATCTCTATTAAAATTGCAACATTACTTTTTGCAGAACTAGAAAAACCTGTCCTAAAATTCATATGCAATCCCAAGAAATCTGAATAACCAAAAAATCTTAAAGAGAACAAAGTTTCAAGTGTAACACTTTCTGATTTCAAAAATTACAAAAAGTTACAGAAATCAAAACAATTGTTTGCCATATGGACACTTGTAGAACAAAGGAAAATGGAGAGGTCAAAATGGAACACTCAAATGTGGGGTCAAATGATTTTTTTTAATGTTTATTTATTTTCATTTACTTGCAAATCAGAGAGAGATCTTCCACCCATTGATTCACTCACCAGGCCAAAGCCAGGAGCTTGGACTCCCACAGGGTTGCATGGGTGGCAGGGGCTCAAGCCATCATCTGTTGCCTCCCAGGATGTTATGCCACAATGCCTCCCCTGATCAAATGATTTTTGACAAAGGTACAAGACTATTCAAAAAGGAAAGGATAGTCTTTTCACAAAGGATGCTGGGAAAACCAGATATCCACATGTGAAAGAATGTAGCTGGACATTTAACTAATATTTACCTCCCCTCCCCCACAAAAATACATGGAAACTAAGAACTTAATAAGCTTTTTTTTTTTTTAAGACTTTTTAATTATTTATTTGAGAGGTAGAGTTACAGTGAGAGGAAGACAGAGAGAAAGGTCTTCTATCCACTGGTTCACTCCCTAAATGGCTGCAATGGCCAGAACTGGGCTGATCTGAAGCCAGGAGCCAGGAGCTTCTTCCTGGTCTCCCATGTGGGTGCAAGGGGCCCAGGTGCTTGGGCCATCTCTCACTGCTTTCCCAGGATATACAGAGAACTAGATCAGAAGATGAGCAGCCGGGACTAGAACCAGTGCCCGTATGTGATCCCGGCACTGCAGGCGGAGGATTAACCTACTGTGCCACAGCACCAGCCCCTCTAAGCTGTGTTAACCATTCAAATTCTATTTTACTTCCTCTCTATTTTCCCCTGGAGATCAGTAGCTTTTGTTTGTTTGTTTGTTTGTTTTGTTGTTTTTGACAGGCAGAGTGGACAGAGAGAGAGAGAGAGAGAGAGAGAGAAAGGTCTTCCTTTTTCTGTTGGTTCACCCTCCAACGGCGACAGTGAGAGAGAGACAGAGAGAAAGGTCTTCCTTTTTCTGTTGGTTCACCCTCCAATGGCCACCGCGGCCGGCGCACCGCGCTGATCTGATGGCAGGAGCCAGGTACTTATCCTGGTCTCCCATGGGGTACAGGGCCCAAGCACTTGGGCCATCCTCCACTACACTCCCGGGCCACAGCAAAGAGCTGGCCTGGAAGAGGGGCAACCGGGACAGAATCTGGCGCCCCGACTGGGACTAGAACCTGGTGTGCTGGGGCCGCAAGGCCGAGGATTAGCCTAGTGAGCCGTGGTGCCAGCCTGGAGATCAGTAGTTTTAAACTCATAAAGGAGACAATAAAAAAGAAACTCATATGTGAAACTTCTGTTGAGTTTTTCAGAGTAGAGACAGACATTTGATGCAGCAAGATGCTGCTTGGGATGCTCACATCTCATATCAGTACCTGGGTTTGAGTTCCAGCTCTGCTTCCAACTCTAGCTTCATGATAATGTGCCTCCTGAGAAGCAGCAGGTGATGGCTCAAATAGTTGGCTTCCTGCTACCCACATGAAAGACCCAGATTATGGCCGGCACCGCAGCTCAATAGGCTAATCCTCCACTTGCGGCGCCGACACACCGGGGCACCGGATTCTGTCCTGGTTGCCCCTCTTCCAGGCCAGCTCTCTGCTATGGCCCGGGAGTGCAATGGAGGATGGCCCAGGTGCTTGGGCCCTGTACCCCATAGGAGATCAGGATAAGCACCTGGCTCCTGCCTTTGGATTAGCACGGTGCACCAACTGCAGCTCGCCGGCCGCGCCGGCCACTGGAGGGTGAACCAATGGAAAAAGGAAGACCTTTCTCTCTGTCTCTCTCACTGTCCACTCTGCCTGTCCAAAAAAAAAAAAAAAGAAAAAGAAAAAAGAAAGACGCAGATTCAGTTTCAGACTCCCTGTGAGGATTTGGGGAGTGAACCACTGGATGAAGATCTTTGTGCCTGCATTCATGTGTCTCTCACTTTCAAATAAATACAACTTTAAAATTAATTTTTTAAAAAGTTTCTCATTGTATCCCACTGTATAGCTGGAATGGTATATAGCCAGCCCTGATAACACAAGCACTGTGTCTCCAAGTACACTGGGCCTTGCAACATTACTTTGGGGGTTCATATTTTGGAACTCATTAATTAATGACAAGACTATTATGAAGTTTGGACAGAAACTTTTACATAGGAAAGCCCAATATAAACTCACACATAAAACTTTAGATTCAGCTGGATCGGTTTTTTAACGGCCAGTGTAATATTTAAGGTATAAAGCCCAATAATATTAAATCTGATTACAATAATTAAGACATAAATGTTATAAGAAGCATTTCCCAGACTTGAGAAAAGTGTATTATGGCAAAAATCATAAAGTATATTAAAAATTAATATCAAACTTTGAGCTTAACTCTAATAGAAATTCCTTTCTATGGAGTATGTTGGAACACAAATAATATTTCTCTGTATACTCACTGAATTTCATTTAAAACTTTCCAGCTCTTATTTCACTGTTGCAATTTCTCTTTATGTGATTTTCTCTATTAGGCTGTAGGTTCTTTTAGGTTCTCTGAAGTCAAAACTACCATTCAATAGGTATCTCAGTGCTTAGGAACAAACACATTCCCAAAGGTTTGTCAAATTACTTCAGTATCTTTATGTGTGTAAATATTCCTGCAAAGAATTCTGCAGAACAAGTTCAGTTTGGATGTTCTATAACTTGGCCAAGAGCACAGAGCAAGCAGGTAAATGGAACTGGAATTTAAGTCCAGACTTTCAGTCAACTAACTTACAGCTTTTCTTCTATCCTATATATAGAACCACAGTAAATATTTAAGTATTGAAGACAGGAACAAGGAAACCTTTTTTTTGTCAAAAGCCATTTGGATATTTATAACATCATTTACAGGCCATTCAAAATTATGAAGCTATAGATTTACTGAAATTAGTAAGCTATAGATTTACTGAATTTCAAGTTCTGTCTGTGGTTGCCTTGGGAGCGCCAAAAGATCTCATCAGCCTTATTCGGCCTGCAGGTCAGCTGTTTCCCACCTGATGTAAGAGAAGACTTTACCTTGTACTTCTTTATCATGACACTCTTTTAACTTTGTCCAAAAGTCCTTAAAGTCATTAGATGTTTCTGAAGAATTAGGGCTTCCACAGTTGCTTCCAGGAATGTTCATTTTGCTTAAAATGTTCCTCACTTCTATTTGCTTAATGTTTTCTGATCTTTTCTGTTACATTATTTGGTGTGAAGTTGTCTTAGGCAGCTGAAATACCTGAAATGACAGATTACAATTTATATGATGCATGCTTTTTAACTTTATGTAATTTAAAATCAGGATGAAACACAAACCCAGCCATTCTTGATTCCCTCATTTATTTACAAGCAATCATTTTGGGTATTTTGGAGGGGATGGAGGAGAATGAGAAAAGACAATTATTGTGAGGAAAAACTCTGATTTCAGTTACTTGGTCTTTACGAAAGGTAAATTTACAGGCAAATTTTCTCTTATTCTCATAGAAGAGTAATTATTTTATGTATTTTATGTTAAATTGAAAGGACTCTGACATTGTGAGGCTTATAATCATGAATAGTCAATGCTGACTTACTATTACCAAAGAATTTATTGCTTTCCTAACTTTGAATTGATGTAGAATAACATAATATGCTAAGCCAAAAACCGGAAAACATCCTGAAATATTTCTTATTTAAAAAGCATCCACAAATATACATGCATATACCAAGACATGCTATAAAATGGCAAGACAGTATTACTGTATATGCACACAACTGGATTTCTATAGCTTTCTGAGCACAAGTCAGTAAGATACAGGCATTGTAAAGATCTGTGAATACAGAAACAGATTTAGAGGTACAAGAGTAAGGCTACTGTGTCTCTCTGACTAAAGGTGAATAAGTGTATTACTTATGTAGCTCTTGAAGGAAACAACAGGATATTATGAAGTTCAAGTGGATTAATACATATTGTAATAGGTGTTCTTAAACGGAAATCATTAACTAGTTACCATGAAGAAAATGATTAGCAAGTGAATCGTCACATCTGGTTCCTTAGACAATGTCCTATCATGGTTAACAAATACCCAAACTGACTTGTGTCTCTTGCTAACTATTTGTTGAGGTATCTGATAAAGGAGCTAAAATAAGCAATACAATTTCTAAAGGGAACAAGAGTATCTGTGAAGCCACTTGGTAAATTGAAAAGCACTACAGAAATGAACACATACTTTTATTAGGCGCCTCAAAAATTATTAAGACTTCTTAAATAAAAATACCAACACGGGACTGGCATTGTGGTATAACAAGTAAAGCCTGCAACACTGGCATCCCATATGGCCACTGGTATTCCATGAGTCCCAGCTGCTCCACTTCTGCTCCTGTTCCCAGCTAATGGCATAGGAAAAACAGCAAGAAGATGGTCCAGGTGTTTGGGTTCTTGCCACCCACATGGGAGGTGTGCAAAAAGCTCCTGGCTCAGCGCTGGCCATTACAGCTATCTGTGGGGTTAACCAGCAGATGGAAAAACTCTTAACACAGACTTTCAAATAAATGAATCTTAAAAAAACAAACAAAACCCAGCAAAAACTGAGTCTTTGCTGGATTTTAGATAATATTAAGGACTTACTGTTAATTTTCTTGTTTCTTGGGTAATGATCTGGTCTTTTTTTTTTTTTTTTTTTTAAAAAAGGCCTTATCTTTTATTTACACATACACACGCACACACTGAGGTGTTTATAGGTATACTGATGTATCTCTCATAGTCTCTGGAATTTGCTTAAAAATACTCCAGGTTAAAACAAACAAAAAATGAGTGCTGGGTGGGGAGACAAACTAAGAAGGACCTCTAACAATACTGAAGTTGGGCAATGGATGAGCCGTAGGAGGGTTGATAATTCTAGTCTCTCTTGGGTAAGGTTTATTTCCATGGTAAAAGTTTTAAAAATTTGGAATTAGAGGGCCAGCGCTGTGGCTTGGTAGATTAAGCCTCTGCCTATGATACCGTGTCCCATATGGACACGGGGTGGTGTCCCAGCTGCTCCTCTTCTGATCCAGTTCTCTGCTTGTGGCCTGGGAAAGCAGTGGGAAGATGGCCCAGATGTTTGGGCTCCCATACCCACATAAGAAACCCGGAAGAGGCTCCTGGCTCCTGGTTTCGGATCTGCCCAGCTGCTGCCACAGCGGCAATTTAGGGAGTGTGAACCAGGGGATGGAAGACCTTTCTCTGTCTTTCCCTCTCTCTCTCTCTCTCTGTAACTCTACCTCTCAAATAAATAAATAATTAAATAATTTTTTTAAAGTGGAATTAGGCGCACTACATCACTACAGCTCTGTTTCCACAAAAGCTAGTATTTTACGACTTTTTAACTCTAAACCAAGAGGCTTATATTATTATCAATAAAAACCACCACTGATCAAATATTTAAACAGGGATTTGCCATTTTACATTCATTAATCTTCTGGCCAACTCTACCAAACAGCTCCTATTACCAATTTCATTCTAGAGTTAGGGAAACAGGTGTGAGATTAAACGACTCACCCAAGGTGACACAGGTAGGGCACCACTATGTCTAAGTTGGGAGTCTAATAACTATAAAATATTTCTGCGTAGCAGAATAACATCAACAAAAGTAAACAAATTATTTCTATTAATACAGGTCTAATTACTTTAACCAGTAATTTAAAACTGCTCACTATATCAGTTTAACCTCAAGAGTGCAAAATGTGGGTCCTTTAAGAGACCTATCTTTAGAGGCCGCTTCAAACAGGTGCCTTGTTTGTTACCCACATAAAACAGTCATCAATGCCAAACTCGCCCATTCCGGCTCACAAAACCCTCTCCACCTAAGCCGCCGGCCCAGCGCCCTTGATTGGCATCTCTTTGGGCACTGAACCGTTACTCGCGGCACAATGCACCTTCATCTTCCGGAATGCACGCCCAGCGGCATTCCGGGCTCCGAAGCCTGTCCTGACAGAATCCACGTCCGTCCGCGCAACCCTGGACAGGGTGACCCCCACTCTGAGGGTGAGCGATGCACTTCACACCTCACCTAGTATTCACACAGGGAAGGCAGGTGCCTGGCGGACGGGTGCCGACCTCCCACCAGAAACGCCCAGGTGCAGCGGCTCCCGCCCCGCGCCCCTTGGTCCTCGGCCTCCCAGCAAACTCCCGCCCGTAGGTACCCAGCGCGCGCCCGGGGTAAAGGCTCCGACCGCGAACGGCGCCACAGGCGTCGGAAAAGCGCGCGGCGCACTGGGCGCATGCGCGGGGCGGGCGCGGCGCCGGGAGGCGTTTCCTCAGCCCGCGCGGGAGACCGGCACGCAGCAGGCGGCGCGAGCTCGGCTTCCCGCCGCGCGCCGCTTCCTCCAGCTTAAGCCTGGGTCCAGCCTCCTTCCTCAGACGCTGGCCGAGAGCCCTGCGGCCACCTCCCCGGCTCCAGGAGCCAAATCTCTTTGCTGACCGCGCCGCTCCAGACCGGAAGTCGCCGCTACGACCCAGCGCCCCGGGTTGAGGGGGAAGATTGCTCTTTACTCACAGCTTCCAAGACTGCCTCGAGAGTTCGCAAGTCCCCGGAGGGTCGCAGACGCCCTCGCGGGGCTGCGGAGGGACGGCCGCTGCTTTTCTCCTCTGGCGCCCCTTCCCCTCAGCGGGCTGCCACGCCCGAGGCAGGGGCAGCCTGCGCTTCCCAGGGGTGGGGGAAGGCCGGAGGGCGGCCGGCCCGGCTCAGAGACGGCCCCGACCCCGCCCCCCGCGGGCGCCCGCGCGACGTCACGCGGGAGTTCCCGCGGCGTCACGCCCCTTCCTCCGGAGGCGCCCCGCACGCTCGCGCTCACCCGGGAGCGCCCTGTGTGGTGCGGGGCGCCGCGGCGGGGACGGAGGCTGGAGCTTGGGCTCGCCGCTTGCGTTCTGAGGGTGTCCTGAGGCAAACTCGAGCCCTTGGGTCTGGGTGCTTCAAGTCCTCGGTGTAGCGTGGAAGTTACCTGAACGGTGTGTGGCCCAAAGCACAGTTCAGGGAAAGCGTGTGTGCGTGCGTCACCTGTGCCCGGTGGAGAATAAAATTAGCTGATTTGGGAATGAGCACGGGCAAGGCTGCTGTAGTTCTGAGCCTTGTAGCCATCATTACCTGCGGTTGAGGGATGCAACCCGGCGGGGCTGGTTGGCCGCGCTGGGTCTCGAAATGCTGATTTTGCCGCGGTGAAATGCGGAGTTTCTGGCAAACCTGCAATGAGAAGAAATCGGAAGCGACCAGCATTACTTGTTGGGACGACCTACTATTGGGGAATGTTTTCCAAAGCAAGGCAGATTTTCCTTTGGTTGGTTGTTTGATAATCCAACTGAGTATATTCTATTTATCTTGATTTTTCTCAAATGTTTTTAGATCATTAGAAATTCTACAAATAAAACACAGTATCTTTTACAATACTTTTTTGGTAATACTTGAAAGACCCTGGAAGGTGATGGAGATTTTATTATATAAGCTTTTAAAAATGAAGTAAAAAATCGTAAGGACAAAGCATAAAGGTAATTTTTCCTTTCTTCCCAGATGAGAAGGGTAGCTAAATATCCTAACTTCTTGAATTGGCCATGACAAGACATTTATGTACTATAATAGCACTGCCACAGGGAAGTCGGTGCTGAACCGTCATAGCCCTGTAATACTGTCATTCATTTCCAAGTCTAGTAAGATTTCATAACACTTTGTAAATTTTTATAATGGAAATGCGGAGTTTTGTTATAAATGCAAAAATCCCGTGATCAGTTGGTCGTTTAATAGTGAATGGAAAGAACAGCGTCCTTGTCATCCGCAGAGAAACTGAGTAGAATGACAACCTGTTCCTATGGCTTCTGCCAGACTCACTAGTTAATCCATTTATGCAAGTTGGAATCCAAAGAATCATGTTGACACTTTTCTTCTCCCTTAATCTCCATATGCAATCCATCACCAAGTCCTGTCAGTCTTACTTTCTAATCATCTAAATCCATCCTCTGCCTCTCTCAGGTTATGTTATGTTCACCAGACCAACTAACCCACCTAACCCTTTCTCTTCACTGGTGTTGAATTTTGAGCATCTACTACTAATTCATGTATTATTTGATATTTAATTGTATGCATGTACTAGTGAAAAATGGTACAAATTCTAATGAATGAGTTGCAGGCTCTGGAACCAGATCTCCTGGGTTTGAATCCTGTCTGATACTTCCTGGCAGTGACCATCAGCTCTGCTTAACTTTTCTGTCTTATTCTTTTCTCCCTGTAAAATGAGGTTAGTAAGAGTATCAGCCTCACAGAGAATGAAGATTAAATGAAGAATGTATGTGAACAAATATATAGTGTTCAGATACATAGTATGTGCTTAATAAAAGCTAACTATAAGTAGTACTTTGGAGCTAACACACTGAATATTACATTTTAAAGATTTTTTAAAAGATGAAGAAAAAATAGAATTAAAATATAACATCCCACCTTAAAGTATGCCACTTTGAGAACACTCCTCTACACTGCAGCTGCTGTTATTTTGAAAAGTAAATCTGATAATGTTATTATGCTGTTTAAACCCCTTCAGTGTCTTCCTGTTACTCTGATGAAAGCCCCCTTTGAACTGTCTACTACCTCTCCAACTTCCTTTCCAAACATATTCTGTCACGTGGCCTTGCGGGCCTTTTTAGTATCTCCTAGGCCTTTGCATGTTGTTGCCTCTGCCTGTAATTCTCCACCAAGCCTAGCTTACCCTTTTTGTCTTATTCCACTAATTTTCTCTATTAGATCCTCTTGTAGTACTATGTATATTCCCCATATTACACTCTGAACCATTTTAATTATTTAATTCAGTCTCCCCAGTAGGCTGTTTCTTGAAGTCAAAAACAATGTTTTGTTTATCTTTTTATCTCCAGAAATTAACCCAGTGCCTGCCATTGTCAGTACTCTGGATAAAATGAATGAACTTGGCATTCCTTGGTGGATTTCTGTTTTTAATGTAAGTGGAAATCTTTGGATATGTTCAAAATTCTTAGACTTCTTAGTGAGATTTTATAATGATCACTTAAACAATGGAGATGTGGATGTACTCACAAATATTTGCCCCCAGCAAGAAGCTTTAAGATCCACATGGTGAAATATAAACTCTCAAAGATTAAGAAAACATCTTTAACAGAGAAGCAGTTACTTTGAACTCTTTGTAATACCAGGTTTCTCATATTTGAGGTTTAAAACAGTGCTTCCTGAACTTCTTCCATTTTGGGATACGTGGGAAGTGAATACAGTAGGGACTGTTAGACAGGTGGAAGGACAAAGCTGCTTCCATACAGAGGCAACAGAAGCTGGGACTCGAAACCACTTCAGGCCCTGCACTGTCATCGTCAGGCATGGGCTTTTAATGTCCCAGCACTTCTATAACCCATAGGAGGCCCCTGTTTTGGATGCTTGACTTTAAATTTGTGAAATGGCTAAAATGGTAAAATTTTTTTGTCACATATACTTAACCACAACTTCAAAAATTATGTAAAAGCAGTAAAAACTCTAGGTTTCTTGAAATAATGCACGTACATTTTGAAGTCCTCTAATTCAAGACATCTTACAAATGCAACTCTTGATTGTATAATCTGTGCTTAACTCCTACAACTGGTAATTGAGTGTTATGAAGGGAAGATCATAAATCAGGGTAGATTGATGTCACTAAAATTCCCTGATCTTACATGTAAAGCATCAATAAAATAGCCTTTGTTCAGTTCCTGTTTCCTTTGCTGTCTTCCAAACCTTCACTATTTTCCTCAAGTTTTTGTACAGTATTTTCACTCTCAGCAGATACCCTAACTTCCTGATTAAACAAGAAAATTGAGCACAACAGGTATGATCTCCCTAAATTTCTCTTTGCCTTTCTCAACCCTGTGAATTAATAGCATTTTTGCAGAAAAAATACTCAGTGCTAGCGGCTGTGGTATAATGAGTTAAGCTGCCGCATGCAGTGCTGGCCTTCCACATGGGTGCCGGTTAGCATCCAGGCTGCTGCTCTTCTGATCCAGCTCTCTGCTTATGGTCTAGGAAGGCAGTAGAGGATGGCCCAAGTGCTTGGTCCCCTGCACCCACTTGGGAGACCTAAATAAAGCTCCTGGCTTCGGCCTGGACCACCTGCAAACATTGCAGCCATCTCAGGAGTGAATCAGTGGATGGAAAATCAATCTCTCTCTCTGCCTCTGCCTCTGCCTCTGCCTCCGCCTCTCTGTAATTCCACTTTTCAAATAAATAAATATATCTTTAAACAAAAATACAACCAAAGTCCCAGTTGATTCTCACCACTTCCTTTGTATCCACCCTGGCCCAAACCACATCACACTTTTCTTTTTCTTTTTTTTTTTTTAATTTAATAAATGTAAATTTACAAAGTACAACTTTTGCATTGTTGTGGCTTTTCCCCCCATAACCTCCCTCCCACCCGCAACCATCCCATCTCCCACTCTCTCTCCCATCCCATTCTTGATCAACATTCATTTTCAATTATCTTTATATACAGAAGATCAACTTAGTATATACTAAGTAAAGATTTCAACAGACTGCACCCACACAACCGCACAAGATATAGAGTACTGTTCAACTAGTAGTTTTACCGTTAATTCTCATAGTACAACACATTAAGGACAGAGATCCTACAAGGGGAGCAGGTGCACAGTGACTCCCATTGTTTATTTAAGAATTGACACTCTTATTTATGACGTCAGTAATCACCTGAAGCTCTTGCCATGAGCTGTCAAGGCTATGGAAGCCTCTTGAGTTCACCAATTCTGAACTTATTTAGTCAAGGCAATATCACAGTGGAGGTTCCTTCCTCCCTTCAGAAAAGATGCCTCCTTCTTTCCACATCGTGCTTTTCAATAGGAATAGCCTCTAATTAAAAAAATTAATTATCTTTCAATTCCCACTGTTCTTCTGTTACAGTGTGTTCTCTAGTGGCAATCAGAGTAGTTCTTTAAAATTGTCAGAACATCACTCTCTCCTGTCCAGAACATATCAGGGTCTTGCCATCATCTTAGATTTACTCTCCTTTCCATGGAGTGAGAGCAACTCAGTCATTGTTTGCTACCTCCTAAATGTAATTTTGACTTAGTGCATTTCCTTCTCCCTCCCTCCTAATGTCCTAGTTTAGTCTTTGAATATTACCTGTTTGACAACCTCCTTGCTTCCTGTCTTGTTCTCCTTAAGCAAATTTCTACACAGTTGTCCCAGATTTAAACCATTATTTTTTATCCTGCCACTCCTTTGCTTAAAACCCTGCAACAACTCTCTACTGCCTGAAGGTTTAAATTCAGTCCCTTTAAAATGCCACAGAAGCCCATCATGCTCTGCTATACATTTTGTTAGTTCCCTTTATCAGCAATAAACTGCTTTTATTTCTCTCTCCCCTTTGCTATTTCTTTGTCTTGGCTCATATAATCCTTTTCTCTTGTAATTATCTCCACCTTCATCTTTTGCACATCACCTTTCTACTTATCCTGTGAGTCTCAGCTTAGGTAAACCTCTTCCAGAAGACTACCTAACATCTCTTTACTCCTTCCTACTCGCTTCCACAAATGCCCCTCATTCCACTCTGCTAACCCCTTAGCACATATCTTTAACACTGTACTTAACGACATTATTTTGTAATTATCTTTGTGGGCTCCTTCATGTCAGACACTATGCTTTCTTTATAATTTTCAGGTTTTTTTAGTTCTTGGCACAGAATTATCCCATAGCACCACATACATAATTTAAAATTTCCTAATCACATATTCAAAAGTAAAAAACATGTGAATTTAACTTATATTTTATTTAATTCAGTTTACCTAACATTATTTAAATATAATCAATTAAAGTTAATGAGATTTTTTTACATCCTTTTCCTTCATACTAAAGTCCTCTAGATCTGGTGTATATTTTACCTCTATAGCACATCAAAATTCAGACTAGCCCCATTTCAAGTGCTGAAAGTCAGATATGAATAGTGGCTGCTGTACTGGCCTAGCATATGTAATGAACAAATGAGGTTATGTCATTTACCCAAAGAACCAAAATGGAGCTAGGACTAGGACACCAGTATCTGATTCTTAGTCTAACACTATTTCCGATGTTTGTGTTGGGTGTTTTCCAATTCTTCCTCACTTCCCACTCACCCTAGCATTGAGTGCCTGTATCTTTCCAGGCACAAAATGTAAAATTAAGTTATTAAGCCCATTGTTATTTACATACTTTCTAGCACTTCTAGCATGAACCCACACCAATGGGGTGGTAAATGGTAAATGGGGTGACCTATTACTTGGGCAGTCAGAACTAAATAACAGGACAAAAGCTGAGAGGGGCGGGGAGGAAAAGCTTGAAGGCAAGAGAAAATGTTAACTGTCAATATTTGTGCCAACTTAAATGAACCCTTAACTTAATTTTTAAAAACTTGTTTAGAGTAATTAGTAAGTGATGTTTGTGGGTGGATGTATACATCATTTAGTGATCTTGCCTCACGTGCCAAAATGCTTTGTTCATGATTTGCATTGATGGTGCCAAGATTCCAGTTAGGTTGAACAGTTTTATAATTGTTTTTAAATATATTTAACATTCACGGAGTATGTCAGTATCATAGTTTTTATTTTGACAGACTCTTAGGTGTTCATTTATATGCTTATAATAGATATTAAAGATTACATGTTGCTTTCCAATTAGAGTAGCCTCATATAGTCTAGCCAATTCCCAAGATAAACGAGATTTATTTTGAACTTTATGATAGATGCACTGGACTTAATACCATCTTTATTTCCCTCTATAAGCTTTTAAAGTCATTTTTAGACATTATTTTTTTTAGACATCATTGACTGAGCTACTTCATTTCACATTAATAATTGGCAAAGTTTTACTGGCTATATAATTTGCTCAATTTAGGAAATATCTCTTTATGCTTGATGAAGAAGTTTATTCATAGTTTCCTAGTCTAAGGTGATGATAGGCTGATAAAAAATGTTACGGATATGTTATTTACAAAATGATTTTTCATCAGTGGAACAGGACATCTGTGTCTTCCAGGTCATCTATCTGTAATGCAATGACTATTTGAGTAGTATTTCTTATCTGTGCATCCTGTAGGCTTACGAATCCCAGGAATTTTGTTGTGTGGTTAGCCTATTAGGCTTTCTCTCTAACATTGGTATTTACACAAACCTCAGAACTGAACAGCTGGAGAAATGATAAAAGAACTTAAGAGTGATCACTAAAACTATAGCGGAAAGTTTATTTTATTTGGATAATCATGAAAAATGAGTCTTTACCATTTTATCCATTCACTTAAATATTCTGAATTTTCCTGTGTACATATGTATAATGCTACCATGATGGAAGCTGTGGAAATGACATTTATTTACAGTAATTGAAAATATTATAAAAGACTAAGTGTAGGAACAAATCACTGCTACTTGAAGTCTATTCATTAAAGCAGTGTTTAGTAGGTTCATGAGAGGAAACATGTAGTATACACTGTCTACTGTTAAAAACTAATGATTCAGCCAGCACCACGGCTCACTAGGCTAATCCTCCGCCTAGCGGCGCCGGCACACCGGGTTCTAGTCCCGGTCGGGGCGCCGGATTCTGTCCCGGTTGCCCCTCTTCCAGGCCAGCTCTCTGCTGTGGCCCCGGAGTGCAGTGGAGGATGGCCCAAGTGCTTGGGCCCTGCACCCCATGGGAGACCAGGATAAGTACCTGGCTCCTGCCATCGGATCAGCGCGGTGCGCCGGCCACGGCGGCCACTGGAGGGTGAACCAACGGCAAAAGGAAGACCTTTCTCTCTGTCTCTCTCTCTCACTGTCCACTCTGCCTGTCAAAAAAACAAACAAACAAAAACAAAAAAACTAATGATTCATATTTAGTGGTAATTTTTCCATTTGTGAGTTGATTAATTTATTTAATGCTGGCAAGTAGCTGTGCTGTTTAGTGTACTCACAATTCACAAATTACAGATATATCTTT